AGAACACCAATTAAAGATGTAATTCATATACATAAGCGATATACAAAATGAGCCTACAAAAAAAACTTATTATAGATTTATCTATAAGACCTAACAAAAATTTTTTGAACCGCAAAATTCGGCTCAATCATATATTAAATTTTAAGAAAAATTTTCATAACTAATTCAAAAATTAATTTGTTCAATCACAAACTTAATATTCATCATTAAATTTTAACAAACAATCGAAACTAACTTAAACTATAATTATTTTAGTAAACTAAACCTAGGTATATGAAGTACTTAACTTATCACAATAAAACTGTTCAAACTACCAAATCAAAATAATTTAGTCTAATTATAATGGAGGACTACAAATTCTAATTCCAATTCTACAAATAAAAATAAAATAAATGAGACGACTACAAGTCCTAATTCCAATTCAACATATAAAAATAAAATACTAGAGAGGACTACAAACCCAAATATCAATTAAATATATAAAAAAATAAATCATAGAAGAGGACTACAAGCCCCAATTTTATTTCAACATAGAGAAATAAATACAAGACTACAAATCCTAGTTTCAATTCAATACATAAAAAATAAAACATAAGAGATGATTACAAGTCCCAATTTTATATTTTCAATTCAACATGTAACAAATAAAATACAACAGAGAGCTACAAGCGCTAATTTCAATTCAACATTTAAAAAATAAACCACAAAAGAGGGCTACAAACCCTAATTTTCAATTCTAACATATAAACATAAAACAAAGAAGAAGATTACAAGTTCTAAATTTAGTTCGATGTATAAACATAAAACAAATGAGAGAACTAACATATTTCGTAACATATTAGTTAATCTTTAAATGTCCAAAATTTTGATATCATTTTTCATTGATATTTACAAGTGAGACTCATATATTTGTCAAAATAACATAACTACTCTTAAATCTTTTAAAAAAAATTTAGTGGGGACAAATATCTAATAAATTCTAAATTTTTTAAAATTACACTTGGTCCCCAAAAATTTTTAAAATTCTAGTGGGGGCAANAAAAAATCAGTGGGAGCAAATATCTAATAAATTCTAAATTTTTTAAAATTACACTTTGTACCCAAAAATTTTTAAAATTCCAGTGGGGGCAGCTGCCCCCACTGTGAATCCGCCCCTGGAACCAAGGCTTTATAAAGTCTGGAATGACTGCCAGTTAGTTGTTTAAGTGGATGCTGATTCTTAAAATATTTTGAGGAGAAAAAAGAAGACCAAAGAGATGAGCCTTGTAGAAGATGCCANAGTGCAATAATATCATAATATTATAGTTCAAAAAATAGTATCACAAATTCATCAATCTCATTGAAAAAAATGTAATAAATCTATTAATATAATTAGATATGCAAATTCTCAAGAATGTCCATTAAAGGGCCGGGGAGATATCTAAAAAATGACAGATTAGGTACTCAAAGAGATTAGGTATTCAATAAATCTAATTATTGAATAAATGAATAATTAATTAAAATAAGAATTAATTATTTGACACATGAATAATTGGACAAACTACTAATTAGTGAGATTTTTTTAAATTTTTTTTTTGGGCAGGGTGGAGGAGGGGGACGTGAACCATTGATCTCAAGAAGACAAAGTCTTCACAATGTAAGGAGTACCATTGAATCAAAGGCTCGTTGATTTATTATTATTATTTTATTTTGGTGGAACCTCGACGGTGTGAGGGAGATTTTAATGATTAAAAATCAAATTACACCTAGTTAGGGGAGGACTAACCCCTCCTCAATGTAATTTAATTACAATGCAATAAGAAATTAAAAAATTGTAATGCATGATAATACATTGAAATACTATTCTAGAAATCATAATTTCCTAAAAGCTGAAACCCACTGCTGAAAAAAATGCTGAGCTGAACAGTCACGTGAATAGTGACGTGAACAGTCCAACTGCAGCATAAATTCAGCTAAAAGTGGTCAGCTGCATCATCCAAATTATTACCCATTGCTGAAGAACGTAGACCTTGAATGAGCTAAGAGGCTGCGCCTGCCATTGAGCTGGGGGAGTCTCTGAGCTGGGAAGAAGAAGCTAAGGGAGTAATGAAACTGAGTCTGCATTAAATACAAGCTAAAGGCAGATGAATGGCCATCAGATAAGGCAGGTTAAGAGCCATCAGATAAGGCAGTTGAAAGGAAAGGTTCATCCGCCTTTCTGATAAAGTAGATGAATAGAAAAACTCTGCCTGAGGGCCTTCTTGTCCAACTGACGAAGAACAGACAAAGAGATGAACATGCCAAAAATGAGGATCAAAATAATGATCCCCATTCTCGTAACCATCCAGATTATGAGTCCATAGGAGAAGACGAATATCCAACAACGTCAAGAAGATCCTCAGAGGAGCAAAGAAGATGAGAGTCCAGCTAGAACCACAGAATAAGATAGTGCACATCCTCACAACCACAGAATAGAAAATCTCCTCCTCATACCCACAGAATAGCAGAAGGCTCCTGTGATTAATCCAGAAATTCCAGAGACCAAGGCCATCCTTGTAGAGTTCCAACCGTAGAAGCAGAGCAGAATGAAACAAGGTCAGATCCCAAATGCTATCCCAAGAATACTAGAGGTATTGATTCAGCCGAAGAAGAGAAAATGAACAGGTGCCTGCTATACACTTTCTTAGTTTAGTTTCTTTGCTTTTGGAAGAAATGTCCCTCATGTTGAGGGATGAATTAGTAATTTGGACTTTGTTTTTTGGTGAACTCTGATCTGCACCATCTGCATACTTTGTAGATGTTCCTATAAATTGTTAAGATAATCTAGGAAGAGGCAGAGAACCTCTTACAAATTGCCCTGATCCCACGCTGATCATGTTGCAGGAAAAGTCTGATAGAGATAGGCAGCTCACCCTGATTCAAGTATAAATAAGTACACTGATCCATAACCCCTTGGTTAGCCAAAGCATCTGCCACCGAATTCCCTTCCCTATACACATGTTGTATTCGACAATCCATAGACTGTAAAAGAGGAAAAATTTGATCTGTAAGAGCCCATAAGCGCCATGATGGGTTAAATTTTTTGGTAATCATGTCCAATACGACCTGAGAATCTGTCTCAATTTCCCAGTCATAAACCTCCAAGCCATAATCATAGATTAGAGAAAGGCCATCCAGTAAAGCACGCATCTCTGCTTCCATATTTGTGCATCTACCATAGGTATAAGAGCCTGCAAGAACGAACTGACCCCAATAATTACGTATGATCACTCCACCCCCAGATTCACCTGGATTTCCTTTAGAAGCACCATCAATGTTCAATTTCAATCTACCTTTTGGTGGATAAAGCCATGAAACACATTTCACTTTAATGGTAGCCTGAGAAACTAGATTGAGATTTAGGGAAAGAAGAATTCCTTTCCCTGATTTTGAGTCCATGGATTTTGGTTTGACATTATATACTTGCATGCGGCAAAACTGTAAAACAGTTTTAAATAAGATATGAGAGCGGAGTTTGTGATTTTCAAAGATTCTCCTACATCTTTCCCTCCATAATTGCCAGAAAACCAGAAGAGGAATACCCCTAGTCAACACATGACTAATCGAAGAGAGATTGAATATTCTTATGAGTTTCAAAAATCTTGTAATAGGACTTTCATTCTCAATCAAGTGAAAACCAAAAAATCTGGAAGCATAGCCCCACACTTCTCTGGCATAAGAGCAGCTAATAAACACATGATTTAGTGACTCTGCATCCTTTTCACACAACACACACCTACTAGCTAAAGCCACACCCTCTTCTGAAAAGTAGAATCCATAGGAAGAATGTCCTTCCATAGCTTCCATCCATGCAACATGGCACTGGGAGGAGAAATTTACTTCCATAGATTATAAAAAGGCATCTGAACTGGCCTAGAAGTGCGAAATAGACTCCAAGCCGTTTTTAAAGAAAAGGACCCAGTAGGAGTAAGTTGCCAGATCAACTTATCCTCTTTATTAGATAACAAAACAGAAGAAGAAACAATTTCCTGCAGTGGATTACCATCTAGGCATTGAGAGACTCCTTGCAAGCACCAACTACCATTTATTAATAAGTCTGATAACATTGGAAAATGACTAGGCTGTCTAGTGTTCCTTAATATTAATGGACCTGATCCAAGCCAATTGTCACACCAAAAGTTCACCGTATGAGCTGATCCCACCAGCTTTTTGGAGTTGTTGATTACTACTCGTGTCCGCGGAACCAAGCAGGGCGGAGTCAGACATATTCTCCGGTGGGGGCAACTTAAACTATATTAATATTAAAATTTAAAATATTCACAAAAATATAATTTTATTAATAGAACATCAATTAAAGATGTAATTCATATACATAAGCGATATACAAAATGAGCCTACAAAAAAAACTTATTATAGATTTATCTATAAGACCTAACAAAAATTTTTTGAACCGCAAAATTCGGCTCAATCATATATTAAATTTTAAGAAAAATTTTCATAACTAATTCAAAAATTAATTTGTTCAATCACAAACTTAATATTCATCATTAAATTTTAACAAACAATCGAAACTAACTTAAACTATAATTATTTTAGTAAACTAAACCTAGGTATATGAAGTACTTAACTTATCACAATAAAACTGTTCAAACTACCAAATCAAAATAATTTAGTCTAATTATAATGGAGGATTACAAATTCTAATTCCAATTCTACAAATAAAAATAAAATAAATGAGACGACTACAAGTCCTAATTCCAATTCAACATATAAAAATAAAATACTAGAGAGGACTACAAACCCAAATATCAATTAAATATATAAAAAAATAAATCATAGAAGAGNCCTTGTTTCTTGAATTAACATGAAACTGCTCATCAACAATAAAAATTAGTTAGCCTATTGTGCTCGAATTATCGTCTATGTTGGCAATTCTTGTACGCAAGAGTTCATAAAAGTTATTTGAAGTAATAAATAATACTAGTAAATTACTGAGTATTTCCATTTTTGGCAGAGGATACATGGCACCAGAGTACTTACTTTGGGGTTACTTGACCTACAAAGCAGATGTGTATAGTTTTGGGGTTGTTGCATTGGAAATTGTTGCTGGAATGAACAACATGAAATATCGTCCTGATGGGAATTATGTTTGTCTACTTGACTGGGTAAGAAAATTTAATTCTTTGCATGTCTTGTTGCTGTTCTTCCCTACCCATTGGTGTATAATTTTTGGTTTTCTTTCTGTTCTTCCCTACCCATTGGTGTATAGTTTATGTGTTTATGAGTTCCTGTTTATCGATATTATCACTAGCGCTCATACAAGATTTATGACTCAACTCAACAAAGCCTTAACTCACTTATTTGGGATCGACTACATGAATCTTGTTGCGTCATATTGTGCTCTACCAAATGTCATATTCTTTGTTAAATCACAAGTTATCATTTTTTTTTATTTTTTTACTATATCAATCATATATCAATAGGCATTACAAGTAGCTGCCATATAAGCATTATTTTTCCATACAATGCAGTTGCATTCTCTAGAGACCTACCACAAAAGATATCAAAAGTTCCTAGACTCCTAGATAAAAAATAGATCTCATTGACAATCTTAATGCTAGACAGCAAAACTTGACCATAACCGTAAAAGATTTATAATGAACCTAAAAGAAAAAGAAATACATTTCCAACCCTAGCATTATGGCAAATAGAAATCGTCCCTGAAATGTCTTCCTTATTTTGAACTATTCAGCATGGACTACTGTGCTTGGGTGCATTAGAAGTTGAACTTCTCAGCCAGTCTATCTGGGGCATCAGTATTTTGTCTTCACTAACATAAGAAAAAACAATTACTAATGTTCTTTAAGTGTCTTGAGCAAGGGACTTCTTATATTTGAAAAACTAAAATTAGTCATGTTTGCAGTTTAAAAAGAAAACGAAATCAAAACAAATTCTTTACTATGCATCCCTCAATGCGAATCCAAACTGTTAGTTTTATAGTAGAAATGACACACATTCAAGTATGAATGAGTACTTTTGTTGCACCCCTTTCTATCAGTTTAACCTTTTAGGGTTGTTGGGAGACTAACTTGATATCACATTCTAGGAATCTTGCGTTCAAACTACACCAACAACAGCTCCCTTAGTACACAATAGAACCACGTGGACGGATCACCCAAGAGTGTCATTCGTGAAGGGAGTGTTAAATAAATACTCATGTTTTACCGCAAGTCGAATACCTGATAACTGTCATTAGCTTTTATGCTTGTTTCAGGCACTTGTTTTGCAACGTAAAGGAAGTTTGATGGAGCTAATAGATCCAAGGTTGGGTTCTAACTTCAACAAGGAAGAGGCAATGAGAATGATTAAAACAATTCTATTATGCGCTAATCCGTCGCCGACACTTAGGCCTAACATGTCTGCCGTATTGNGTTGGGTTCTAACTTCAACAAGGAAGAGGCAATGGGAATGATTAAAATGTCTAACATGTCTGCCGTATTTAGCATGCTTGAAGGTCAGGTTACTGTTCAGGAACTAAACATGGATCCAAGTATTTATGACGATGAATTGAAGTTCAAAGCCCTCAGAGACAAGTATGAAGTGATGGAACACCAGAACTCCGGTGAAACTGAGATCCTTATCCCTTCATCACCACCACCCAAGATATCTACCCGATTATTCTTGGTTCTTCATACTGAGGAGCGAGAATTATGCTTTGATGGTCCATAAATAGATTGCTTGTTTAGCTATTTTTTAAGTTTTTGTCCTACTTAAGGAAGCCGAAATATGCATTTTTCCTCTTTCCATTAAGAATCATGACCTTGGTGCAATTGAAATCAAGAGCACAGTGACAGGTGGATGACCAAGAATTTATTAGTGTAATGGCTAAAAAGGATAACATGAAATGATAAATGACAGTTATTCTTGTCTTGCTTCATTAACTATGCTTAATTTGTAGTAGTATCCAATATACAAGCAACATTGTTTTTTCGATATGCAGCTGCACAAAGCAAGATATGCAGGATCATGAAACATGGGACACACCTGGCCTTTTAAGTGAAAGTCTTACAAGTGGTTTCTGTATCAATAACCATTATCCCGAAGCTAAGATGTCTCCGTTGCTGATATCCCCCGTTGTCCATTGATCATCTCAGCTGCATAATCAGCAGATAAAGTAGATTCTTCAATCTCTTTGCTAGCAGAATGAGATAATGTAGTGTTTGATGCCCCTTCTTGTGATGTGCTCCCGGATTGAGAGGATTGAGAAAGAGCAGCTATGGCCTTGGCAGTTGTAAATTCATCCATTGGGTAAGGGGCACTGATTCTAGAGGAAATTATCTTAGTCTTTCCTTCCATGATTTTTACAACTTCAGACATGGTTGGCCTGAGTGTAGGGGATGGGTTAGTGCACATCATTGCTAAATCTAAAATTGTGATCGCGTCTTTCCGAGAGAAGTCAGATCCGAGGGCTTGATCTACTAGTTGTATAAGATTTCCCTGCTGTTGTAAAACATAAGCCTGCAAATTTTCATTGCATCTAGTAATCTAGTGAGAAGGCTTTTTATATATAGACAATGCATCAACAAATTTTTTTTTCGTCATGATGATTTTCTTTTTCAAGCATGGACACACGAGCATATAAACACTCACAAACAAAGTTAATAGAGTGTGGATTTGCATTTGGCTCACCAAATCTAGAAGGTAGACACTCTGATCATTTGGCCTAGAGGTGGCATTGTTCTTCCCACTGATAATTTCGAGAGTCACAACTCCAAAGCTATAAACATCTGCTTTATCTGTTAAGTAACCTCGCATGGCATACTCAGGTGCCATATATCCCCTGCAAAAGGCCTCCACCATAAGGACAGTCATGCATTTACCTTGAAAGAGAGAGGGTTTCTAAATTAACAAGTTATTTCTCATCAAATGTACAAGTATTTATTATAAGAGAGTGTGACAGGCATAGGTTCCTTACGTTGTTCCAGCTATTCGGGTGATGACGTGTGTCTTTTCCTCTTCATAAAGCTTAGCAAATCCAAAATCAGATATCTTTGCATTGAAATGCTCGTCTAGCAGAATGTTTGTTGGCTTAATATCTCTATGGACAATTTTCAATTTTGATTCTTCATGGAGAAAAGCCAGACCTTTTGCTATACCTAGGCAAATTTTGACCCTAGTTGGCCAATTTAGTTCTAATTTGAGTTCCTCTGCACCTGTAAATTACCCAACTTCCACAATGTTACATACTAATATCAGAAAATTTTAAGTTTAAAAGAGTTGTATAAACAAACTTGTCTGATACCAAATAATGCATGTGCAAGGGAATTATTTTCCATGTACTCGTAGACAAGTAGGAGTTGGTTGTCTTCTGCACAACATCCCATTAGTCTCACTAGATGTGGATGTTGCAGAGCTGAAATAGTACTAATTTCATTAACAAACTCGCGGATTCCTTGCTTTGATCTTGTTGAAAGTTGTTTAACTGCTATGATAGGTCCCTTGGGAAGTATGCCCTGCATATTGATGTGCAAAATTTCTAATTAAAAGACGAACAGGCAATTAGAAGTTTATTGGGCTTATGTTGGAGAAAGGTTTGCCAACTCCACACAATTGGAAGGAACATTTGACATAATCTAAAAAGAAATGAATGCTGGATTTTGAATTCCAGAGCAAGAATTGAGAAAATATGGACCTTATAGACAGTTCCAAAACCTCCTTCACCTAGCTTGTTAGCAGTGCTAAAATTCTGTGTGGCAGCTTTTATTTGACGGAAATTGAAAACCCCTCCAGGAAACAACTCTATTCTGCTAAGTTCTGTTTCAATGCATTAGCAATCAAATTGAAAAACAGTCAAGAAAGATGTTATCATGCATGAATGGTCAAAATGCTTATCGATGTTGTGGTGATCGAACTTTGTTTTTCTTACCTTCATCATGCAATTTTTTGACACCAAAGCAGCCCAACTTCCATAAAACACCTAAAATGAATATAAAGAAGAGCAAAAAAGATCCTACAATCCCAACAATATGCACAACAGATAGCCTGCTAGAAGCTTTGTTTCTTGGAACTGTTTCAATAAGATTCCAGAGAGTTATCAGTCCTATAGAGGACATTACCACCACAAGGCAGCAGAAAGAAATGAAAGNTACTATTTTCTTTTTTTCTTAAATATTTCTTTTAATTGACGAAGGAACCTTGAAACAGACGTAGGATGATAAAGGGCAAGGCAAGATGCTGCCACTTGGAAATTTCGCCTAGGATTATAAGCCATTGGGTGCAATACTAGTTAGAGAGATGGAGTAGTCCAACAATGAAAGCCCAACATCTATGCTTATAATCCAACTCTCCTAAAATCTTGAACCTGTAGGTAGTGATCCCATCAACTGTAGTTAATCTTATTTTTTCACAGCACTATTCACATGAGATATTGACTTGTCACAAGTGTTATCCACAATATCTTCCTTAGTACTATTCATGGCTTTCTTCTAATTATTATTTCTTATCAAGTGTATGCCTTCCCTCACCACAACTCCATGCCACTCTTGCAGGTAGCTAGCGGAACACAAATAGTATTTTTCCCCTTGATTGAAAGAAAGATGTGCTTCTAAGTAAGCCATGTTTGGAGTTAGCCTTCTCATGTGTAAAAATGAATCCAAATTTAGAACCATAATATGGCAGCAGTAACGGAACATCATTATGAACCATAGACAAATATGTACAAGAAGCGTAGGAGTCCAAAAAGGAATTGAATATGGATACTTAGTGTTTTGTTGCATTTGTTATAAACTTCTTGCCATTCTTGCCACTTTGCAGGCCTGTAAGGATAAATATAAGAATGAAAACAAAGCACATTATAGTAATTGGACCTGGCTTTAGATAGAAACTTCATAGTCATTAAAATTGAATAAAAGAAACAAGTATCAAGAACTAAGAAAAATGTTGCTTACATGGTGGTCATATTAGAGCAGCATAAAAACAAGTTCCTGAAAATAGAGGATTTATATCATACAACACTAGAAAC